TAAAAATGGCGGCTCCCCGCTTATGCAAATGAAGCCCGGGAAATTCAAATCCCGGGCTTCATTTGCAAGTGTGGTATGCCTACATTACCCCGCTAGTTCGAACTAGCGAGGTAGTATAGACATACCCATAGAAACAGAGGAGTTTTGAAATGTGCCCTGAACATAGGGTGACAAAATAGCAAATGTGAAAATCAGGACACTGTGAGGAAAGTGGGGGGTAGGGTTGCATGTATAAGACAAAGCCCCTAATATCAGAAAATCTGGTCACTCTACCTGAAATGAAACAAACTCTTTCTGTAACATACATCGTTTGGGAAGCTCAGGCGTGCTGAGTCTTTTCAATAGGTTTAGTGTTTCTCATGGGAGAAAGGGCCTTGTAGTAATGGACATACAGCCAATTCTTTATTAGGCTGCTGAACAAACACAGCCTTGGGGTTCCCGTGGAGTCTCCCTCCTGCACTTCCCAGGTCAGCACTGGGGGTCACCCTAAACCCGGCCCTGCAGTAAGCCTGGTGGCAGGGAAGTTGGCTACCGTATGACCTTCTAGTTCCGAACAGGTGGTTCACGGAGTCAGCCCGCTGGCTTGCAACCGCTGGCAAACTGAACCAGGCATTGAAGGAACTGCAGAAAGTGGCACGAATAAATGGGCGAAAGGAAGAAGGGAACAAACTCAGCATAGAGGTGAGGAACTGAATGGGCTAAAAAGGGAGGCTGTAATGCATGGAGCTTATGTGAGTGCCTCTCACCTTGTCATAGGCAGGACCATGGATATTCCTGAACTAGAGAGCTTGGGAGCCTAATGGCAGAAGGGCCAACATGGTCAGGACTGGGGGCAGCAGGGCTGGAGGATCCCCAAAGCAGTGCGGGAGCCAGGGCCATAGAACCCCAGCAACCCATGGCGCTGTGGGGTTGGGGGCCGAAGAAGCCCAGCAGCACACGGCAGTGTGGAGTTGGGGAAACCTGGCTGTTGACAGCAGCGCAAGGCCAGTGCTGGGGACCAGAGAACCCTGGCCGCCCATGGGCAGTCCGGAGCCAGGAGGCAGCAGCAGCAGAGCGGACAGCTGGGCTTGGGAGGGAGTACATGGGGCCAGAGGCAGGAGGAAGGACAGCTCCTCTGGTCTGGCAAATTCTCTCATTTGGGACCAGTCAGGTCCCAGGGTGCTGGACCAGGGAGGTCCAACCTGTACCTCTCACAGTGCCCTAAACAAATCATAGGGCTGCAAAGAGCCCTGTGGTATGAGTTGAAGTAGACCCATTGGAGCCTACCCTTCCTGCTCTATGCCTCCTCCCTTGGCTGCCTGTATCCCCCAGTGGTAGCCCGGGGTACTGCAGCCTCAAGATTGGCTCTGCCCATGACCGCACTCAGTATTGCAAGAAGCTCCCAGACCCGAGGTGTTACATGGGTAGCAAGAATACCCAAAGTTATAGCTGTGCAAATCCATGGATATCTGCTTTATATCCAGGAGTATTTGCATTTGCGACTATGGATATAGATATCCACAGCTAATTTTTGTGGATATGGAATAGGTGCAGATACAAAATTTGTATCTAGAAACCAGCAAATTTGTGGATATCTGCTTTATAGCCGCAGATATCCATATCCACGGATGTCAATGGGGATATCCACGGCTCATTTTTGCTGATACTAATATCAGCAAATTTTGTATCCAAGCAAGGCTGTATCAAGTTATAACCATAAGGATTGAAACTCTCCTGTGTCTCTTCCCTACAGGACTTGAGAGCGAGTCTGCAGAAAGAAATGTCCTCAGCCAAGTCCACCCACACAGCTGCTGATCTGGTGCACACACCATCTGTACGCAGGATATCCTGCTGCCTGTGCTTTGTATGGTACGTGGGCTCGTTCAGATGCAGAGGGAGCAAAGAAGGTGGAAGGGCAGAAAATAAACCAAGAGCTTTTGGGACAATGGCACTGTTAGCTGAGATCCAAGTGCTGTTGTGCTTGGTGCTGTACAATAAGACAAGACAGGCCCAACCTTACAATCTAAATTAACCAGAGCGAGGATGAGTGCTCCCATTTTTACAAAAGGGGAACTGAAGCACAGCGACACTAAATGACTTGCTGAAGGTCACACCAGGGAGTCTGTGACAGAGCAGGGAATAGAACAGTGGTCTCTCAAGTCCCAGGCTACAGAGAGTTTTACAGCACTCCCAGGCTATGTCTACACTGGCGCGATCTTGCACCAGAAATATGCAAATGAGGCTAAGCATGGAATATCGCCAAGCCTCATTTGCATATCTAATGAGCTGCCATTTTGCGGAAGAGGCTCTTGTGCAAGAAGGAGCATCTACACTGCCCCTTCTTATGCAAGAAAAACCCTCTTGCGCAATGCCGTTACGCTGATTATTTTCAGGCTCATTATATATGCAAATGAGGCTCAGCGAGATTCCACGCTTAGCCTCATTTGCATATTTCTGGTGCAAGATTGCGTCAGTGTAGACAAAGCCTCAGTGGTCACAGGCAGAACTGCACCCTGCAGACTATTTTCATTGTCGCCCTGCATTTTTGTGCTGTCAATGGCAGGTTCTCCACCAGCTTTGCCTATTACGGGCTGATCATGGACTTGCAGAATTTTGGGGTCAGCATTTACCTCATCCAGGTGATATACGGCGCTGTCGACATCCCTGCAAAGCTGATTGGTTTCTTCATGATCAGTTTTATTGGCCGGAGAGTCACCCAGGCATCTGCTCTCATCCTAGCAGGGATTGCGATCCTGGCCAACATACATGTGCCCCAAGGTGAGGTGCACTATTGGTTTGCATGCTCTGATTTTAATTAGCATGTAAATACATTTAGCTCATATTTAATTTAATTGGCATGCATGCATGATACAGCAAGAGCAATGTTACAAGAATGGTCTATAAAAAGTCTGTATATCGAACTTTTTTCATCCAGTTTGTCAACAGAAAATTGGAGGACTGGCTACCTTACATTTTATATGAAAGGCATCAGCTTCACACTGAAACTTTCTATTTGCCAATAAATTTTTTTTATCAAAAGCATTGCCCCTCTCCCAAATTTTAATTATGAAATGCTGGGGTCCCTAGCCAGGCTACATTTCTCATAATGCAATGCAGCTGCCATGACTCACCACTTCCCTCTCTTTGCTTCTCTGGAGTGGTCCCTTTTTCTCTAGCTACTTGTCTTCACTCTCAAGACCCTTCATGACCAATCCATACCCACCTTGTCAGCTCAACTCCAGTCAGTCCGTAATGTCAGCCTCTATCACCCACTTGTTACATGTTCAAACAAGCACCTTTTGGCTTCCCCTCATACTTGGGAGAAGTTCCCTGTAAACATCAGCAAAATTAACATCATATCCTCCTTAAAACTCCTTCTGCCCTAGGCCTACTAAAAATTCGACAGTGGTTAGGTTGTTGGTGTGCTGAAACCATAGTCTATCGTGCTGACCGATAGTGTCTCATTGTTTTCTGGAGATACCTCACGGAGAACCCAGAGTCACTCAATGAAATCAATAGGCACCAGATTTAAAACAATCACAAGGCAGTACTTCCTCACACAGTACACCGCCAGCCTGTGGAACTCATTGCCAGGGGATGTTGTGCAGGCCAAAACTATAACTGAGTTCCAAAAAGAATTAGATGAGCTAATGGAGGATACATCCCTCAATAGCTATTAAACCAAGATGATAAGGGATACAGTCTCATGCTGTGGGTGTCCTAAACCTCTAACGGCATCATTTCCTTTCCCCAGATCTGCAGATCTTACGCGCTCTCTTGGCTGTGTTTGGAAAAGGCTGCCTGGCTGCCTCATTCAACTGCGCCGCGCTCTATACAGGAGAGCTCTACCCCACGGTGATTAGGTACGTAGACACGAACGCCCCTTTTGGAGTCCCGTCTGGGCTGCTGAGCTGTGTGGTGGTTTGCACCCTGCCTGATCCACCTCAAGGAAATGGCAATGAGAGAATAAGAACAGGAGCCAGTTGGGTGTCCCACGGCTGGTAGGAGATGCAACGCCAAAGGAATGTACAGGATAAAGCCAGACTGCATGAAGCAGGGTTTCTTGGGCCACTGCTTTCTCACGGGAGGGCGTGGCAGGCAGGCAGGTTCAAGATTAGATTAGGATCAGATAAAATATGCAAATTGTGGATGAGAAACATTGAGATTGTAGTTCAGAGAAGGGAACCCAATGGAGGGCCGGTTCCCAGCTCCTGACTGTTCTCTCTCCACCCGGCAGACAGACCGGAACAGGGTTTGTGAACACCCTGGCGCGGGTGGGCGGCATAGTGGCTCCGCTTGTCAGAATGACCAGCGAGTTCTTGCCGTCCCTGCCTCTGATCATCTATGGAGCTGCCCCTATTGTATCCGGCATCGCCGCCTGCTTCCTACCTGAGACCCGTAACATGCCATTGCCGGACACCATAGAAGATGTCGAGAGTCAGTGAGTAATTTCTGCAACCATTAAGGGGAACTGGTGGAGAAGAAGCAAGGCCAGGTGGCTAGAGCAATGGGCTGGAGCTCAGAGACCTGGATTCTACTTCTAGCTCCACCAGCCTGAATTTAGGCAAACACCTCCCGCTCCCAAATCTCTTCAGGGTCTGTTTCTTAGTATGAGTCTGTGCAGCCCCTGGCACAACGGGGCCCTGACCTCACCAATATCTGTGCAACACCCGGCACAATGGGGCCCTGACCTCAGTGAACACACGTGCAACCCTTCAGCCGGGTTTTGTACGCAGAAGGGTTGGGTTCAGTTTTCAATGGGGCCCGTCTAAAAACACCAGCTTGAGCCCCAACTTAGAAACCTGGAAACTGAATACGCCACCCTGGCTGCCTTGATAGGTAATTCTTCCCTGCTTTCAAGTACTGAGTGTAGGGGTTAAAGAAGAAAAAGCTTTATGAGGGTGGGGGAAGGGGACAACAGGACTAATGTGCGACAGCCAGCAATTAATAAATCCGCACTGTTAGGCAAGACTCTCTCCCTGAGGGTGTGCTGGCAGGAATCCCAGCCTCAGGCCTCCTTTCATGGTGGGGAGCAGCTCAGACACTCTCGCCACTTCCCTGCTCCTCCTTGCTACGTCTCTGTGGGAAGGGAAGGGAAGGGAAGGGAAGGGAAGGGCAGGCTCCTGCTAGCTGTGAGCTAAGCTAAGATGGCATTGAGCAGTGGTGGGGAGTGGAGCTGAGGTGCTGTTGAGGTACAGGCTGGAGCTGAGTTGAGGCAGTGTTGGGGCTGGAGGGAGGAGGGGGGGCGTGGGCTGAAACTGTAGACAGCAGCAGCCGGGAACCTGAGGGAGTCTGGTGAAGGCCAGAGGCGTAGCGAGGGTGTTATGCGCCCGGAGGCAAAGGAAAAATTTGCGCTCCCCTTCCCCTCCTGCCACCATGTGGCACAGCCCTGAACCTGGTGCACAGCTGAGGGGAACTTGTACCGCATCTTCCCATGAGCAGAATGAATTTTATGTTGTGCACCAGTACTGAGTTCATGGGGCTTGTTTGGATGTGCCACTGTGGCACCCAAGTTATTAATAAATATTTTATAAAACTTTACCTTTTCTCTCTGCTGCCATGTCTCCTCCCCTTGCTCCATCAGCTCCCCAGTGCCTGCTGCCCCCCAACTCCTCACCCTCCTCTGCTGTCCTGACTCCTGCCCTCAGTTTTATGTTGTGCACCAGTACTGAGTTCATGGGGCTTGTTTGGATGTGCCACTGTGGCACCCAAGTTATTAATAAATATTTTATAAAACTTTACCTTTTCTCTCTGCTGCCATGTCTCCTCCCCTTGCTCCATCAGCTCCCCAGTGCCTGCTGCCCCCCAACTCCTCACCCTCCTCTGCTGTCCTGACTCCTGCCCTCAGTACTGCCCTCAGCCCTCCTGCAACCTGCCCCCCTCCACTAGCCCTTCTCTCCCCCCTGTGCCCACTCCTCCAGTAGCCCCCCTCTGATCATGTGAGCTACCCCTCCTCATCCCCTCTCCTAACATATTCCTACTTGAAAGTAGGAATAAGAAATCCTCCGGAAAAGGGCTTATTTTCCGGAGAATCGTGTCTAGACTGGTGCTCTTCTCCGGCTTATCCCCAAGCCGGAAAAAAGCGGCAGCCATGTAAATGCAAATGCCTCAGGGGATATTTGCAATTCCAAAGTGTCTAATCTGCATCCCTTTTCCGGAAAAGGGGTGCAGTGTAGACAAAGCCGTACAGTATAGTGTGGTAAGAGAGGGTGTCTTGCGCAAGAGCTACGCTCCTTTCTAACAGGTGTAAGCTCTCTTGCGCAAGAGGGCAGTGTAGATGCTCGGCAGGGATTTCTTGCACAAGAAATCTGTACGGCTAAAATGGCCATTGAAGCTTTCTTGCACAAGAGAGCATCCACACTGCCATGGATGCTCTTGCGCAAAACCACAGCTTGCACATGGCAGTGTGGACATGTTCTTGCGCAAGACTTCTTGCACAAGAACCCTTGCGCAAGGTGTTCTTGCACAAGAAGCCGCCAGCGTAGACATAGCCTAAGAGTTTCCTCCCATAAGCAGTATGGATTTTGTGTTGTGCACCTCTACTGAGTTCATGTGGCTTGTTTGGATGTGCCACTGTGGCACCAAAGTTATTAATAAATATTTTATAAACCTTTACCTTTTCTCTCTGCTGCCGTGTCTCCTCCCCTTGCTCCATCAGCTCCCCTGGTGCCTGCTGCCCCCCAACTCCTCATCCTCCTCTGCTGTCCTGACTCCTGCCCTTCTCACTGCCCTCAGCCCTCCTGTGACCTTCCCCCCTCCACCAGCCCTTCTCCCCCCCCTGTGCCCACTCCTCCAGTAGCCCCACTCTGATCATGTGAGCTACCCCTCCTCATCCCCTCTTCTAAAACCTCCCTCTACACACCTGTCCTGCCTCTCTCCTCTGGTGCTGGTCCCTGCCCTGCAAGTGTCTGCCCTTCTGCTTCACCCCCAGAATCCCCTGGTACCTGCACCTTCCCTTAGCCCTGCATCCTCCTGGTGCCTCCCTTCCCTTACTGCCCCTGCCCCCTTTGCCCTTTTTCCCTGATGCCCACCCCCTCACCACTCTCTTCCCCCATTCACCTCCTGCCCCTCTGTGTCCTCACAGATGCCTTGCTCCATCCCCACCTTTCTCATGCCCATCCCTTCTTTCAAGCCTTCTCCCAGCACCTCCCCTTCCCTCTCCAGCCCCCAATGCCCTTCCCTCTCTTCTCCTCTCCCAGCATCACTCTGTCCCTTTTCCCCCTCCCTTACCTTCTGCCTTCCTCTTTGCTGGGACGGACTCTGCGCTTGGGCCCCGGACTCAGAACCTGGAGCTAGGCTGAGGGGCGCAATGCGGCACTGAGCAGTTTTAAAGTCCCGGGCCATGACGTCATGTCACGCCCGGGCGTCTCCCCGATCACCTGGAAATGCCACACATGGCGGTAGCAGCAGCCAGCAGCGCACGCTGGCAAGGGGGAGCCAACTGAACACTGCACATGAAGGGACGGTCCAGGGCTGGGAGGGATACACGGTGGGAGAGGGGGAGGAATGGCAGGTGGGGGCCTGGGCGCGCTCCAGGCAGGGCCGGGGGAGAGACCCAGCTCCAAATATTGCTGGAGCACGGGCACCACGAGCCCATATAACTTGCCGCCCATGAGTGTCAGGTGAGCCTGCGCAGTGAGCGCTTGTTCTAATCCTGGCCTGGCGCCCCCCTGGGTAATTGCCTCCCCCCATCCCGCCTTCACTATGCCTCTGCCTTTCCCATGAGTTCCCTCAGGGGAGCCGCTGGGCCCCTGACCAAGGACGGGGGGCAGCTCTGCACTTCCAGAAGGGGCAGGGCCTCTGGCGGAAGGGGCAGAATTAGGGTGGCCTGCCTCAGGGCAGGGGACTGGACTTGATGACCTCTGGAGGTCCCTTCTAGTTCTAGGATTCTATGAATTGTCAAGGTCTGTGCATCACCTGGCACAATGGGTCCTGACCTCAGTCAGAGTCTGTGCAGTTACTGGTGTCTCAGAGGTCCCTTCTAGTTCTAGGATTCTATGAATTGTCAAGGTCTGTGCATCACCTGGCACAATGGGTCCTGACCTCACACAGAGTCTGTGCAGTTACTGGTGTCTCACACACACACACACCTTATACGTGTAGTGCATTGTCCCAGCTACTGGCACTGAGACCACTTATAGAGAAAATAATGACCCTGCTTTACAGCCTTAGGTAATAGCCCACTGGTTATTAGCTTGTGCACCAAGCTCTGATCCCAGCTGGGTCGGTGCACCACCTGGCAGTGGCACTGGAACTATTTTTGGGGAGAGGCTGCAGAGCTGCATCCTGCCTTTAGACCTGTTATCAGCACTTCTCAATATTGCATATGTCAGGATCATGCAACTGCTTCGCACTGAAGCTGGTTGGGAATTTTCCAGAGAAACCTTTTTTTGCCACTTTGTCAAAACTGAAACTGTGTATTGAAAAGTGTCTGGGTGAATTTTTCATACAACACATTTTCAGAACCAAAAAAAGTGATTTTCTGGTTCAAAATGACTTTCTGCTAATAAATTTAAGCTAACTGAAAGAAAACAAATATGTAATTTGGTCAAAATCAAAATAAAAAATGTTTCTAAATTATTGACAGGACACATTTTCATTGATTCAAAATGAATTTGACTTTTCATCCTAATCTGGGACAGGGACATTTTTCAAAATCTCAAAAATATTCATAGGACGTGACAATCATTCCTCCTCCCCCAGCTCCATCATGAACCAAGACCATGGATGCTGCATTATGGGAGGGGATAAAAAGGGGGAGTGTAATTCACAGAGCAGTTGGGAGGCTTGGCTAATCCCTATTTATACAGTATCATGGTTTGCTGTGATGAAAAGAGCTACAGAAATTCAGTGTTATATAATCCTGTGGTCTCTTCTTATTCCTTTCTAGGAGAAGACCCAAAGTGATTAGAGATGTAGGACGGAAAGACAAACTTCCGCTGAGAGCCTGCAGATTGGAACCACTCAAGGAAATTATGTAAGAAGTGAAACTAAAGAGACCCTAGGTCCTGATACCAATTAGTGTGATTAAAATCAAACATGCCCTTGTGTTTTACCAACTCAGGGTCAGAGAAAGCTTCTGTGGAAAGGGTATTCATGGGACATTATACCAGCTTTTGTATCCATTTTCAGAGAGGCTAATAAAGTCTACAGTGCCTCGACAGTTACTGCTAACATGGGGCGGCAGCGTGATACGGAACACAGCACTGGGCTGGGAGTCATCTTGGATTCGGATCTCAGCTCAGCCCCTGGCATCAGACTTGTGTCTCATGCTTTTCCCTCCGCAAAAGGGGTGTGAACAAACTACACCAGTCCAGTTGGGTCCCAAATAACTATGTCTATTTCACAGGGCTAGCCAGAAAACAGGAATTCTGAATAGCACAATAATTTAATAATTTTTGTTCCACATCAGAACAAAGCCAAGATGCTTTCAAAATGCCTCATGAAAACAGAGAGCTCCATCCCAAAAGAACCAACAGCTCAGGCAAAGCAGCAACCTAAACTTTGTATCTCTATACCCCTCCCAAGTACCCTAACAACCATGCTAGCAAGTTAGTGCTTCTCACTCTATGTCAGGACTTGAACCTGGCTCCTCAACACAGGTAAGCAGTCTGACCTACAGGCTTTTCTGGGGTGGGTCTTGCTCTCTCTCTCATTTTGTTCAGTGGTATTCCATTCTGGACCTGAGAAATCCTCCCCACAAAGTATTGGTCGAAACCCATACATTTCTGTGAAAAATTTTAGTTTTGACACATTGGCAATTTCCCCACAGAAAATTCTCACCCTGCTCTTCTGTTTAGTACATACAACCATTCAAAGCCTCACTACAAAGACACCATTGCTCTGAGTGGCTTTGAAAACACAGAACATGGTGAGAACCTTTCGAGGGATCACTGATTAGTTAAAGGGACACTGCTCTGATTCTGTATACTACACTCTGCAAGTCACTTCCCCACTCTGCCCCAGTTTCCCTCCCCACTCTGTCTATTTAGATTACAAGCTTTTCAGGGCAGGGACAGCGCCCAACACAGCGGGATCATGACTTCTTATTGCTACTGTAAAAACATACCAGTTTAAAGGAGGCTCTGAACAATGTAGCTCTGGGTACTGAGTAAATACCATCACAGACCAGGGCTGCGCTGTCATACAATGAGAGTGCTTATCACACAGTAGTTCATGTGTATCGCAGACTCTAGTTTCCCAGACTGGCAATTTGCATCAGACTCATAGGGGAAGGCAGGGGAAGAATAAAGGCAAGTCCAAAGAGGGTGTGTTCAGCCTGGCCACCAAACAAGCCACACACATAAATAAACTCCATTCTCATCAGAAACATATGTCACTCAAAGTCAAAGTGAAATACAGGATGTTTCTGGGGACACTGCTGAGAGGGTTAATTATAGGTGAATTGCTTAAAGACGGAGCTACCTTCAGCCCAAGACTAGGGCCCTCCACGATGAGGCACCAAACCAGTCAGAAAGAGCACTTCTGTTTGCCACACTGGCAAGCAAGAAGTTGTACAAGCAATTCCTTTCAGACACTCCAGTTCTCCTTATACAGATAAGAGATTATGAAAACCAATCCCACCAAATTAAAACAGATCCTTCTGATCCAAAAGGATCAGCCATATTCCCAGGTCAATTTATAACTCAGATCTTACTCATAAAAGAGGATCAGCCATATTCCCATTTTTTTTGTTTTTTTTTGTTTTTGTTTTTTTGTTTTTTTAAAGAAAAGAAAGAAAGGAAGACAGACATCTCAGCAGAGGACAAGTTGTTAAAGGAATCAAATACATACCAATTGCAAAGTTCTTGGTGCAGGCATGTAGCAGAGGTGGAATAATCTGCTGTCTTAAAACAAGTCTCTGGAATACAGCCTCAGTTAGGATAAGTCATCAGTCCTTTCAGGCTTCAGGGCGTATCAGAGACCCTTCAGTTAAAACAAGTCTCTGGAATACAGCCTCAGTTAGGATAAATCATCAGTCTTCAGGCTTCAGGGCGTATCACAGACCCTTCAAATGTGATGAGCCAGCTTAAAGATGAATGGAGGAACCCCCAGGTCTCTTTTTATAACCTTGGCCACATGGAGGGATTCCCATTGTTCTCACTGTATAATAATGTGTCCCAAGATGGAGTTTGTCACATGAGAGAGTTATATGTCCATGCATGATTTGGTCCTTTTTAGGCAGTGGCGATTGCTCTCATGCTGGTCTGAACATATACAGAAAAGCTCATCAGATGTGGATTGTCACCACTTAAGGTACATTGTTAGTCAAGTATTGCTATTCACTTGACTAATAGTTTTCTCATTGTAGTTTAGTCAGGCCTTCTGTTAATATCTCCCAGAAGCTAACATTTGAAATGCAAGTACATAGCCAATACACATATCTTCAAACACAAAAATAATACATGCATATGAACAGCATAAACAGAATCAGTGAAGCATATGCTTTTCATAGACATCCTCCTTGGCAACAGTGATTGTATGTTCATATTACAATCCAATAACGTCACACGAGGTGACCATGTTTTCAGTGCCACCAATCCCGGCTTTTGTATAGCGATGTTCTTTCAGGGCCATACATGAGTCAAAGTTATTCATGTCACAGAAGAATCTCATTGGCGAGGCAATGCACATACACATAGCTAGGGCCTGCCTTTTCCCCAAAGAGCTCTCAGTCCCAACACCCAAATGGTGGGAGGGGAAACAAAGGGACAGAAAGAGGAAGTGACTCGTTCAAGGTTACACACCAGACCATGGCAGAGCTGGGACTAGAACCCAGATGAGTGCCCCATTCACTAGGCCATGTTTCTACTAAAAAATTCCCTTTAAAAAGTACCTGTGCTGGTATTGCTAGAGTGGGTCAGAAATGGGGTGTTTCCAGGGGAAAATTTTGAGGGAAAAGAAGGAAATTGAACCCACTGAGTCAGGAGGATTTACTGCCATGGTCTCCGGACAGGTCTCTGGCTCTCTCGATGATGATAACCAGAAGGCTGCTTGTATGTACGCTCAATGATGTGGGCCCAATGACCACCGCAGACCCCAAGAGGGCCTCCAAAATCAGGCAAGGATCAAAGGTGCCCGGCCAGGTTTATTGTTAAGCGAAGTACAGTAATAGTTGTCAGTAGACTCTACCAAATCACTACACACTTGTACTTACAACAATGCCCGCAGCACAACCAGTGGGAAACTCCCACTGTCCCCTCAAGACACCACTTTGTATACAGATGCAAACAAGTTACACATCACTGCTGACATTGTCAGGTTACCACTCTCTGACACTACTTAGATACCACCTTGTGGTTTGATTAGATCATCCCTATCCATCATTCTGTCATTTTAGACCCTTTCCCGAATCTGTATCTGTATCTGTGGGGAGTGTGTACCAAGGTTTTTTTTTTTAAATGAGCTGCTGGTACCATGTGCTTTCAACTTATGACCAGTACCAATTACTGCTCTATTCCTAGGTCTATTACCAATTAGTGTTTTGCTCTCTCAGCCCTGGTCATTCCAAGTTCTGTTAGCAGGGGCCTGCCTCTTGCTCACAGCTTAGCTTTGCTTCATATTAGACATGTTTTGTTCATTGTTAGCTAGGCCTCAGGCCTCTAACCAGGCCTGTGCTACATGGGCTTTTGTTTTAGGCCTTCATCTTACTACACCCACAACTCCCAAATCCATGGCTTATGGCCTAACCAGAAGAACACCCCGACTACTCTATTTGCACGTCTCCTGCATACCAAATTATTGTCCCACTGCACTATTAGTATCATAACAACATGAGGCCCCGCTCAGAGATCAGGGCCTCACAGCACTACAGAAGTGTGAAATAAATGAAGACATTCCTTGTAGTCTCAGCGGAGGACCAGAAACAACAATTGGCTCACCAAAGAACATGCAACCAGGCAGGACAAATGGTGGGTGTTTCAGTTACAGCTCTGGATTATGACGTCTGGGGAGTTAATTCCCTCCTCTGCCAAAGGCACCGAGTGTGACATTGGGCAAGGCAGAGAGGGGAACAAAACCTCCTATGTTGCATAGGAAGCTAATTCCTGTTTTCAGAAGTGATTCATGCACTTAGGAGCCTGAGTCTCCTTGACCTTCAGTGAGACTTGAGCTCCTGAGTGCCTAAATCATTTAGTCCCTCTTTCAAAAATGAATTAAGTCACTTGAAACACTGAGTGGAGCAACTCTAAGATACCTTTAAAACTCTGTGCTCAGTACCCCAGATTCTCCATCTGTAAAAGAGCACTAATAAACCTTCCCATGTCTATTTACACAGCAAGCTCCTGAGACCAAGGGCTGTCACGTACTGTGTGTTCTTGGCACAATGGGACTCTGATCTCAGTCAGTGTCTGTGCAGCACCCAGCATGACAGGGCCTGCATCTCAAGTGGTACCAGCTGGGGTCCGTGCAGCATCTGACATCACAAGGCCCTGACCTTGGTCAGAGGCTAGCACAGTGGACCCCGGCATCTGTCAGTTCTGTGCGGTGCCCAGCACCTGCGAGGGCCCCACTCTTGCACAGGGTCTGTGCAGTGCCTGACACGATGGGGTCTTTAGGCACTGCTGTGCTATACTTCATATTTACACAAGGAGAAGGGGCAAGTGAGACAGTCACGTGTAGGAAAAACACTGCAGTCACAGCACACCAGTTCCCCAGCAATTGCTCCAGGTGAATATGCCCAAATGCCAACATCGTTTGTGGATAACTGACTACATCAAAGGATATCTACTCATTGGACTGGCTTTTACATGCACCCAATGCTGTTACCCATGACTCTTACTCTCAAGTATTGTCTGCATTATGGTGGTATCGAGAAGACACAACCAAGTTCAGGATTGCAACATTATTTGCATTTATTTGTGTTGTGGTAGGGTCAAGGAGCACCGTTATGTTCTGCATTAGGCAAACACAGAACAAAGAGATGGTTCCGTCCCCAAAGGGCTTCCAGTCTAAGAGCAGGCAATGAGGCAGCGCAATTCCAGTTTAAACAGACAGAGAAAAGGAGCGAATTGCCCAGCTGCAGAACCAGAGACAGAAGCCAGGACTGCTTCCCTAAGCCAGCACTCCAGGCACTTCCTTAACCTTCCTCCACCCACCCCCACCCAGCCATTCTCTTTGTCCTCCCCTCTCTCCCATGGATT